ATTTTTATGGTCACTTTCGGTTTTCACACGTGGAAATACATTAAAATCATCTAATTTCAACCCCGAAACAAAAACTTTGTTGTGTTGTGTAATCAATCAAAAACCTATCTAAGGGAACGATTAATGGTCGACAAAAAGACAAAGACTAGCGATCTTCGGAAAGTAATGGAAACATGGAAATGACGACAAAGGTGATTTACCGCCTGAAATAGCGAAAGTGACGGCATTGAACATACGTCACAAAATCTTCGGTGTACGATCAGTTTGAATATAATGTCATCAATTATTTCGGCTGCAATAAACCTTGCCCGTTATACCGACGGTTACCTGTTGCAACTGTATTGCCCCAACGAGCTTCTTTATGGAATATCGAAAATTACAGGCGAGTCACGACTGACTCTCTAGTAACAAAGCTCNTTGAATACGGAGTTTCATCAAGTATCGATCAGTTTTATCAAATTTAACATTAAGTTTCGTTTGAAACGTGTTTGTCTACAGAATAACTTCTTCAGTTAGCCTGGTCATCAAATTATTCTGCAGTGTCTTCTATATATCAGAAACATTGTAGAATAGTTTGTAGAATACTGATGTAGCCACTGGGCAGCAAAACGTGTAAATTTATTGTGAAATTTGTATTATTATAATGTAGGATAGTGTTATTCATTTTCATCAAGTAAGAGGTCAGTGTATTTCCAATATTATTTCAATTGTTACATTTAATCATTCTAAAGATGAATAAATGTAATATATTTTGATTTTCTTGTGACGGGCCACATTTATGTTATAGATAAAGTCGAAATATATTTATTGGATCCACATGTTTTTAAGCATGCATGAAGATTACGCGAAGAAAAATATTAAGTATTATCAATTTTTCTTTACATACATTTATATAACGATAGCTTTTTAATTCGTTTTATTATTTTTATATTTTATACCGGGAATATTTATTATATAAGTGCATGAATAGTATGAATAATGAAGTTTTGAATAAACTTAAACTATTGAAGCGTTTCATTTCACGTGGGGTCCAAGGAAATACACAAAAATAAAACTAGAAAGTATATTTTTCGAAACAGAATCACATCCCATGTAAGTACTGATTCTCCAGCAGATATAAAGCCGTGCCTGAAGACTGGATTGAATATACGTACTAGAAAATAAATATTTCGAAATAAAATCTCTCGAGATGAATACGAGGGGGTTCTGAAAACTCTCCTACCTCAACATGAAAATAGTACCACTCGTAAATAGAAGCTAGTGAATTTCGTTGTTCATTTATTGACAGTTACAAACCAAAGTTTCAGACATTTTGGATGCTCATTTCTTATGTAACAGTCTTTTGAGTGTTTTTATAGAAACGGACAAAATCGAGTACCGAGCTATCATTAAATATATGTTTTTGAAGGCCAATACGCCTACGCAAATCAAAGATGAGTTGGAATCTGTGTTTGGGGACTCTGCACCATCATCAGCTGAATTTAAACGTGCCCGTAAGAGCTTGGTAGACGTTGAACGTTCGGGACGTCCAACGCGTTGGTTCACATTACACCAAAAACGTGTTAGAATGAACATTTCCAATGCTCTGTTGTCGCAGTTCAGGCTCAATAAATCCGAATTTTGGCACCAATTAATTACTGTAGATGAAACTAGAATACACCATTATTCGCCGGAAACGAAAATATACTTCAAACAGTGGACTGCAAAGAAGAAACCGGTTCCAAAACAAGCAAAAACGGTTTTTCTGGCAGGGAAAGTGATGGCGATTGTTTTTTGGAATAGTCATGACATTATTTCAATCGATTATCTTCAAAAAGGAAACACTATTACAGGAGCATCCTACGCATCATTACTTGACAAGCTGAAGGCAGAACTTGAGGAAAAACGGCCACATTTGCAGATTGAAAAAGTGATGGTTCACCGAGACGACGTACCGTCTCACACCTCACCGGTTTCCATGGCCAAAACCCACGAATTACGGTTTGGACGGCTTGACCATCCACCATACTCATCAGATCTAGCCCCATGGACAAATGAGGAGGACATCACTTTCGTGAACACTTATTTGGCAGCGAGAAACGCCGAGTACTATTTGGAAGGGTTACAGAGATGGTTCGAGATTTTCTTTCGAAATATTTATTTACTAGTATGTATGTATCTTTCTTCGATATCGTCTTCAGACATGGTTTCATCACAAAAATAAAATTAGGTAAATTTTCGTTTTGAGGGCACCCGGCGATTTTGAAAAAATGTTTAAGGGTACTTACGTATTTTGATGCGTAGATTACGAATCCGAAAGAAAAAAGCGGCGCTCTCCCTTATTTACATATTTGCGGCCCTTCAGAGTTCAGAAAAGGGCGACGTTCAGCCTTCTTTTTCACAAAATAAACTATTTTAAAACACAAGCATTTATTCACTAGGTCACCTTTACACCTTATTCCTCATTCTTTGACACTTTTCACATCAATAATCAACATTTTTCCAATAAAAATGTTGAAAAATGTACGGAGCTGCTTTTTGGTTACATATCTCTGAATTTTACATTTTTGAGGTTAATGACATGGTTGGTACGACTGATAAATTCAATATTCCTAAAGTAATTCAAATGTTTTTCACCTTCATTCAATAGTAGGCGGCGGCAAATACCAACCGCTTTTTTCTGAAATGTCACTAGTAAATAACCTAGAAATAGAAGAATGTCACCAGGGGAAGCATTCGTTTTTAAATTTAAGTTTTTTTATAAGAAAAATGTTGATTATTGAAGTGAAAAGTGTCAAAGAAAGAGGAATAAGGTGTAAATGTGACCTAGTGAATAAATTCTCGTTTTTAAATAGTTTATTTTGTGAAAAAGAAGGCAGAAAAGTTGCCCTTTTCAGAACTTTGAAGCGCCGTAACTTTGTAAATAAGGAAGAGCGCCGTTTTTTCTTTGGGATTTGTATTCTACGCATCAAAATACGTAAGAACACACAAACATTTTTCTTTTAAATCGCCGGGTACCCTCAAAACGAAAATTTAACCTAAAACCATAACACCCCCTCTTTGATCTATCATCAACCTGCAGAAAACTTCCTGGTTTTCGAATGAGTCGAAGACGAGTATCTTAAACATTAAGTAAAAAGGCATTTTAAAACAAAATTATAATGAATTCATCTGAAATATATAAGTACATTACAAATGCATGTATTATACAGTGATGGTAGTTGTATCACAAAATATATCATAAGTACACGGGCTTGTACGAAATATTGCGGCAAAGCAGTAGCTTCCGTCGATTTTCTCCGAACCAACAAAATATCAAAACTGCTGCCGTCCAACTTACTCATCCAACTAAAATACCGCTACTCATTACAAAAATAAATAATGTTTCCAATGTTTCTGACTACGAATAATTTGGGAATGTTCGATGGAAGACCCTTTTTTTTTCTCTAAAGCTCCCTCTTCTTGTTGTATCCAAAGGAATTGATAGCTGAAAGAGAAAAAATAATAATTAAGGTTAAAGCGTTTATAAATAAATGAATAAATCTTCAAATTATTCTCACACTATTAAAATTGCCATGTTGAATGAATAATCCACCATCAAAGAAGATGTTTTATAAAAGAAAATTCAAATGCTGTTATTTAAACTTATTAATTTCAAAATATGCTGTAGAAAATTCAACAACTTTTTAATTTCATGTA